CTCGATGGGATCGTCTTCGCCGCCGCCGTTTCACTTCGGTCATCTCATCACCATCAAGCTCTCCGCCGACAACTACATCTTCTGGCGTGCGCAGGTTCTCCCGCTCTTGGGGAGTCACTACCTGCTAGGCTACGTCGACGGATCGCTTCCCTGCCCACCCGCACTAGTAGACAGCGTGCACGGTCCGGTCTACAATCCGGCCCATCGCGTCTGGACGGGGCAGGACCAGGCGAACCTCTCCTCCATCCAGGGGTCGCTCTCGCCGGCAGTTGCCGGACTTGTTGTCTTCGCGAAGACGTCTCATGAGGCCTGGACCATCCTTGAGCGAACCTTTGCAGCGCAGTCCCAGGCTCGTGTCTCTGCACTCCGTCGTCAGCTTGGAGAGTGTCAGAAGCTTGACTCCACTGCCACTGAGTTCTACAACAAGGTCAAGGGCCTCGCTGACACATTGGCCTCCATTGGACAGCCCCTCACCGACTCCGAGTTCAACTCGTTTATTGTCAATGGTCTTGATGAGGAGTATGATGCCTTAGTCGAGATCATCAACAAGCGGGGCAACTCGACACCCATGCTGGCACACGAGGTTTTCTCTCGGCTCCTTCTCACTGAGCAACGGGTCGAGACACGCCGCTCCAGGGGCACTGGCTCCCTCTCGGTCAACGCCGCCACCAAGGGTGGCCGCTCTTCTTCATCACCCCGGTCTCCCTTGGGGCTGCCACCGTCGCCCGCCTCGCCCCCCCACCTACTGCGACCTTACCGGGGGCTGGCGGTCCACGTGTGTGCCAGCTTTGTGGCCGCGATGGGCACTGGGCCTCCAAGTGTCATAAGCGCTTCCAGCGAAGCTTCCTTGGTCTTGGCAATGACGGCAAAGATACACGCAACAATGCCCGTCAGGTCGCCATGGCTGATCGTCCCGCGCCGCAGAAGCAACAGGGACACACTCAGTCCTACTCCATCGATCCACACTGGTACATGGACTCTGGGGCGACAGAGCATCTGACCAGCGAGATGGGGAAGCTTCACACTCGTGAACCCTATCATGGCTCCGACAAGATCCACACCGCCAATGGAGCAGGTATGCACATCTCTCATATTGGTCAAGCATCTCTTCTCACTAGACATGCCAATATGAGTCTTCAGCTTCGCAATGTTCTTCGAGTTCCATCTGTGACCCGTAATCTTCTTTCAGTTCCTAAACTCACACGTGATAATAATGTGCTTTGTGAATTTCACCCTTTTGATCTTTTTATTAAGGATCGGGGCACGAGGGACATTCTTCTTAGTGGGCGGTTGTGCCAGGGCCTCTACCGTCTGGAGCATCCTGGCGTCGCCCGTGTTTTCAGTGGAGTTCGGGTCTCTCCGTCACAGTGGCATGCTCGTCTTGGTCACCCGGCCACACCTATTGTCCGTCATATTTTGCGTCGTCATGAGCTTCCTAGTTTGTCTAGTAATAAAGATGTAGCAGTGTGTGATGCTTGTCAGCAGGGGAAGAGTCATCAACTTCCTTTTTCGGAGTCCAGTCGTGAGGTGAAACATCCTTTAGAACTTGTGTTTTCAGATGTATGGGGTCCTGCTCAGACTTCTGTCAGTGGTCATAATTACTATATCAGTTTCGTTGATGCTTATAGTCGCTTTACCTGGCTTTACCTTATTAAACGCAAATCTGATGTGTTTGATATTTTTGTTCAGTTTCAAAAACATGTTGAACGTCTTCTCAAGCACAAAATTGTTCATGTCCAGTCGGACTGGGGGGCGAGTATCGCAACCTCAACTCCTTCTTTCAGTCGCTTGGGATAGCTCATCGTTTAGCATGTCCACATACACATCAGCAGAATGGTTCAGTCGAACGTAAGCATCGTCATATTGTTAAAGCTGGTCTTACTCTTTTGGCCCATGCATCTGTTCCATTTCGGTTTTGGAGTGATGCTTTCACCACTGCATGCTTTCTCATCAACCGTACTCCCACTCGTGTTTTAAACATAAAGACTCCCATTGAGGTTCTCCTTAATGAACAACCTGATTATACCTTTTTCAAGGTATTTGGGTGTGCTTGCTGGCCGCATCTTCGTCCATATAATAAGCGCAAGCTTGAGTTTCGTTCTAAGAAGTGTATTTTTCTTGGCTATAGCTCTCTTCATAAAGGTTACAAATGTCTTCATGTTCCCACTAATCGTGTCTATATATCTCGAGACGTCGTGTTTGATGAGCATGTTTTTCCCTTTGCCAAACTTCCTGTGTCCACTGTCGAACCACCATCTCTGCATTCATCCTCTGTTGCTTCTGACCAATTTGATGATGTTGCATACTCTCCTTTGCTGTTACCTAACCATGGTGCAGGAACCGGACGTGGGGCTCGTTTGGAGCTGTTGGAGGATTCACCATCATCATCGCCGCCTTCTGATGGGCACGTCGATCGCCCTATGTTGCATGGCATCGATTCGCGTGCCCATGCATGGTCACCCAAAGAGCCTGTCGCCGAGCATCTCCACTGCTCGGTCCGCTACGCCAGCGACCGCCGAGTCTCCAGCGGCTCGGCCCTCTTCGCCAGCGGCCGCCGAGTCTTCAGCGGCTCGGCCTGTCACGCCGTCTTCGCCTGCAGCTCGGGTCCGCGACGCCGTCCTCACGTCGCCTTCATCCGCGGATCGGCCCGCGACACCGGCCGCGCCACGGCCCACTATGTCGGGCTCGCCATCGGCCCGGTCTGTGACGCCGGCGTCGCCAGCTGCTTCGTCTGCTCTGCCGGTTTCGCCGGTGGGCCGGCCTTCTTCGCCGACCGAGCCCGAGGCTATTGTGTCTGGCTCCTCGTCACCGGCTGACTCGTCAACGTCGCCGTCCTCCAGCCCGTTGCAGGCTGCTCCGTCGACCTCGGTGGTTCCTGTGTCCCGACCACATACACGCAGTCGCAGTGGCATTTTCAAACCTAAGGAACGTAAGGATGGTACGGTTGCTTGGTTGGCTGCTTGTTTGGCTGCTGCTGTTGCGGATCCATCTTCTGAGCCTCGCTCATATCAGGCTGCCCTGCGCATTCCACATTGGCGAGAGGCTATGGAGCAGGAGTTTCATGCTCTCCTTCGTAACAAGACATGGACTCTCGTTCCTCCACCACCACGGGTAAATGTTATTGACTCAAAATGGGTATTCAAAGTGAAGAAGCATTCGGATGGATCTATTGAGCGTTACAAAGCGCGACTTGTTGCTCGCGGTTTTCGGCAGCGCCATGGTCTTGACTATGAAGACACCTTCAGTCCTGTCGTCAAGCCTACCACTATTTGGCTTCTTCTCTCCATTGCTGTTTCTCGTGGTTGGTCACTTCGTCAACTTGATGTGCAGAATGCTTTTCTACATGGATTTTTGGAGGAAGAGGTTTATATGAAACAGCCGCCTGGTTTCTCTGATCCTGATCGTCCTGACTATATCTGTCGTCTCTCCAAAGCACTATATGGTTTGAAGCAAGCTCCTCGTGCCTGGCATGCCCGCCTTGCCTCTGCCCTTCGTGCTCATGGGTTTGTGCCGTCCACTGCTGACACTTTATTATTTCTTCTACAGAAGCCAGAAGTCACTATGTATCTTTTGGTATATGTCGATGATATTATCCTTGTCAGCTCTTCTCAGTATGCTGCTGATGCTCTTGTCTGCTCTCTTGGTGCTGATTTTGCGGTCAAAGATCTTGGGAAGCTTCACTACTTTCTTGGAGTTGAGGTCACTTCTCGTGCTACTGGTCTTGTCCTTACGCAGAAGAAGTACTCCTTGGAGTTGTTACAAAGAGCGGGCATGCTGAAGTGCAAACCGACCACCACACCCATGTCGTCTACCGACAAGATAACAGCTGTTGATGGTGAGCTTTTGTCTCCTGCGGATGCCACAGAGTACAGGAGCATTGTTGGTGGACTTCAGTACTTGACGATCACGAGACCAGATATCTCTTATGCTATTAACAGGGTTTATCAGTATCTTTAGGCTCCCAGAGATACTCATTGGGCTGCTGTTAAATGCATTCTTCATTATGTTCAGTTCACCCTGACATTTGGTATGCATATTCGGCCGACTTCCTCTCGGGTCCTTTCGGCCTTCTCTGATGCAGATTGGGCTGGTAGCCCAGATGACAGGCGATCCACGGGGGGTTATGCAGTATTCTTTGGCCCTAATTTGATCGCCTGGAGTGCTCGGAAACAGGCTACTGTGTCACGTAGCAGTACTGAAGCTGAGTACAAGGCTGTGGCTAATGCTACTGCAGAGATTATTTGGATGCAGTCTTTGCTTCAGGAGTTGGGTTTGTCTCAACCACAGCCTCCTATTCTTTGGTGTGATAACATCGGTGCTACATACCTTTCTGCAAATCCAGTATTTCATGCCCGAACGAAACACATTGAAGTTGACTATCACTTTGTACGGGGACGTGTATCACAGAAGCAACTCCAGATCAAGTTTATCTCATCTAAGGATCAACTTGCAGACATCTTCACTAAGCCTTTACCTCTACCACAGTTTGAGGCTTGTAGGCGCAATCTTACCCTTCTCAGTTCTTTAGAAAGTGGCTAAGATTGAGGGAGGGTGTTAGACTATGTATAGCTTCTGTACTTATGTACGTATTGTAACACATCCATTATATATAATGAGATAAGCCACCCCTAGAGGGTTGTGCTGGTTCCCACAAAACTTATTGTCTTACAATCTGCAGCAGTCCCTTGACGTTGAGAGATCATGGAGCAGTACGTAGTAGTACTACACTATGTTAATGTCATGGAAATTCCCTCGTTCGCTCGATGCCTCTAATCAATAAACATCGGACCGTCGTCGTCTTCCGCCGGCCGGCTGCTCGTGCTCATAAATTGCCGCCGGCAGCTTTCCTTCCCTCCCCCCTTTATAGTACGCTACGCGTACTACTCTCCTAATCCTAATCCTAGCTAGACGACGACGGTTGACGGTCGTGAGATCTTCTCCTAGCTACCTACGCATTCGCCCTCTTCTTGCCGTCTGCGAGTGCTAGGTTCCGACCGACGATGCGGAAGGACTTCTCCTGCTTCCGCGACGGCGCGGTCACCACCCTCGCCGTCGCCGAGCCGGGCTCCTCCGGCGACCGCCTCGACCGCTCGCTCCAGGCCGCCACCGCCTGCGTCTACCGGGTCGCGCTGGCCGAGCGCAAGGAGCTGCTCGTCACCGTCACCTGGACCCGCCGCTCCGTGGTCACCACCTCCGTCGCCGACGCCGCTGCCGCCGGGGCCACCGGGCTCTCCGTCGCCGTCGAGGAAGTCCAGGCGAAGGCCTCCACAAAGCCGACGTTCCCCGTGTCATCTGCGGCGGGGACTCCGGCCGCAACGCCGCGGAGGGCGGCGGTGAAGCAGGCGGCCACGGGGAGCGCGCAGCAGCGGGTCGTGCACCTCATGCACAAGAGGCGCGGGAGCCGGTCGTTCGTCACGGAGGGCGGCACCGCGGTGGCCGTGCACTGGGACACGTCGGAGGCCAAGTACGCGGCGGCCTCGCCGGAGCCCTGCGGCGGGGAGTACCACCTCGCCGTGGTGGCCGACGCGGAGCTGGCGCTGCTCCTCGGCCGCGGGGCCGCGCGGGAGGAGCTGTCCCGCCGCTTCGGCGCCGCCTCGCGCGCGGTCCTGGTGAGCCGGCGCGAGCAGCTCCGCGCGCCGTCGTCCGCGGAGGCGGCGTCGGTGGCGCACAGCACGCGGTGCAGCTTCCGGGACGGCGGGGCGGAGCACGAGGTGACGGTGCGCTGCCGCGGGGACCGGCGGGGCGCGGCGTCGAGGGGCGAGCACGGCGACGGGGAGGTGGCGGTGAGCGTGGACGGGAAGAGCATAGTGGAGGCGCGGCGCGTGGGGTGGAACTTCCGCGGCAACCGCACGGCGGTCCTCGGCGACGGCGCCGTGGTGGAGGTGATGTGGGACGTGCACGACTGGTGGTTCGCCGGGGGTGTCGGCGCGGCGCAGTTCATGGTGAAGGCGCGCGGGCCCGGGCCGGCGGACGGCGGGCGGGTGTGGATGGACGAGGAGCTGGCCAGCAAGGGGCAGCCCCCCGCCGGCTTCTTCCTCCACATGCAGTGCTACCGCCGGTGACCGCCCGCCCCGCCCGAGAGATTCTTCCGTCCCACTGTCATTACTACCACCTAGCCGTGCCCTGTATGTATGTACTCCGGCCGGTCGCCCGCCGTGATTCTTCTCCCTCCGTCGATCGTAGTACAAACAGAGCGAAGTCACCGTTTTTTGTCCGCCCGACGTCCCTTTCCCGACGTTGATAGTCCGTTCCTCGTATCATATGGCGATTTGACTTTGGAATCGAGGAGCCAATCAAATCAACAACGAACGCAATTTTTTTACCAGATCGACAAGGAGATCACCATCAGCATCACCGCTAAGCAGCTTCCAAATGGCGTAGATTTAGCGTCGATCGATCTTCTCAGATGACAGCTCCCTAAGCATGCATGCATGTGCTTGGCCGAGAAAGAGGGTGGGCTGCCTGCCTGCATCACCGGTTGTGGTTGTGGTTGACTGCCGGCCGGCCTACCTCGGCCGCCATTACTGCGGGGAGCAGGCAGCTCGGCTCACGAGGCTGGCGGTCTCACGCTCACGCTCACGGAGGCGTTGTGTTTGGCAGGGAGCGCTTTACGCCACTGATCTACTCTGCCCGCCTCGATCGGCCGGCCGCCATTAATGAACAGGCTCGGAGACGGCGTGCGTGCATGCATGCAGCTACCGGTGGATCGACGGACGGATGCCGGGCCGCTCCGGCCGGGGCGGGGCATTTAAGGCGGCCACGGGCGCAGCTGCGCTACGCTACAGGTCGACGACGGCAGCCGCGCGCAGCAGACCAGATGGCGTCCGGTCCGGCCAGTCAAGGGTTTGACCGCCACGTCGGGCTCTGAGATTGGCCCCACCGGTCATTGACCCAAAAACCGCAACCGATCAAACCCTTCATACTGGTCCAAATGTTCGGGTTGTTTGTCACGCCTCAAACCCAGCCCATATGTCTGCCACCGTTTGTCACGCCTCAAACCCAACCCATATATCTGGCACCACGACGATGACGTCCCTTCGGTCGTCGACGCCTACGCCGAGGAGTACTATTGTTGCTTCGGAGACCCCCAAGGGGAATGAACCGGCGAGATGTGGCGCCCCCTCGCTCTATCTTTTATCTGTTGTTGTGTTCCGATGAACTTATGGTATGTATGATCTTTCGTTAACTTGCTATCCTATGTTCGGCTGTAATTAAACTTGCTATGTACTCCCTTCATCTGAAAAAGTTTGTCCCCCAAATGTATGTACCTAGCACCAAGTTAGTGCTAGATACATCCATTTGACGGACAAACTTTTTCGGACGGAGGAAGTATGATCTATGATCTATGCTATGTTGAATTTATCTACATAGTATTTTGATCATGTTGCATGGGGTTGCATGGATTAGGTGTCACGAAGAAATGAGGGGTGATTAATTGGGTGTTGTCCATGGAATATTGGGGTTCAAATTTTGACATTGTGGTTGTAGACACCTTATTAAAACCAAAAATGCTATACGAAGTCACCCAAACGCCCGGTGGACAGATAGAACACCGTCTGGACCAAAAAGCAGACACCCAATTGGACCCCCAAACTCAGCCCATGTTTTCGGGTTGTCCGACACCCCTCAAACCTCCTAGCTCCTTGTGTGATCAATTCCGGTTTTAAAAAAAAATAAAAAATAGAAAATGTTTACCGAGTCTCTGTTAGCCAAAACTCGGCAAAGAAAGCTGGCCCCACTTATCATACTTTGTTGACTTTTTTATGTACGGAACTCGGCTAACTTTATATACTCTCTTTCAGCTCGTCTAGCTCAGCTTGTCTAGTTCAGCTCGTCTCCACCATAGCTACTCTCTTTCATCTTGTTTCACTCTGTACCTGGCAAAGCAAGCTAGTCTGCCTTATTGATTGTGGGCTAACAATGCAAAGCTAAGCCGGGGATCATCATCGGCACAGCTGCCGCAGCGGAACGGGAGACACATCACCTATGCCCTTCTGCGAGAGGGGAGATGATAGTGCTGCAAGGCGACAGCCACTATGGTTGCTGGACGATGGCAGTTTCCGGCGACGGCGCTGCGGGATGTTGCAAGGCCGCGACGAGGCATGCTACAATGGCGTCGACAACCACGGAGGTGTCGCCAGGCTGCAGTGATGCTTCAATTTCCGTGGCTACGCTCGGTGCTGAGCTGCCACCATGGTTACCGGACAATGGCGGTTTCCGGCGATGACGTTGTGGTGGAGGTGGTGCTGGATGTTGCAACACGGCGACGGGCGACGGCTACGAGGTTCAATGGGGTTCCAACTTCCAAGGGCGGTCGCCGGTGTCGGCATGGAGACACACGCAGCGACCAACACCTGCATGCAGCAGACGCTGTGCACGCGGCCGCGCGGCGAGCGCGTAGGTGCATCCGCACCCGCCTCCAGCCGTATAATGCTAGGTGAATAAATACAGGGCGTATAAAGGCAGTATTTGAACCAATATTAGAGAAAATGGCATATGTAGAGGTATAACAAAGTTGTAGTGCTCGGCGATTTGACCGCTCGCCAGGCGCACATTACGCCGTGTGGTTATTGTTGTGGTCGAGTGCCCGCCCGCATGTCCCTGGCGCTGGAACCTAGCCGCCGCCAGGAGACCAATCTTCCAGCGCCGTCCTCCGGCGGCTCCCCTCCGCCGGCGACCTCGGTCGTCAGTGGTGAGGGGGGCCGCCAGATCCACGCGTGTGGATCGTTTTTACTCTCTCGTAGTTTAGATTTTTAGCCTGTTCATCGTCTTTGTTTCGGCGGCAACGATGACAGCGCTGAATAAAGATTCTTCGGATCCTTTCTTGACAAGGCCATCGGTCCTATGGTTGGGGATGGATTTGGAAACCAGTCTGTTCAAGTAAGGATGGCGTGGCGGCGGCGGCATCCTCGTGGTGGACATGTGTCCTCGGGCTCCGCCGTTGCGACGACGTTTGCTCCAGCGTCGACGCGGAGCTTGGGAGGTAGTCCAGGAGCGGATGCAGATTGTGGTCTGCATCGACGACATCTGGAAGACGGAACATGTGCTGGGTTCGTGGTTCGTGGATGGTAGGTATGGTTTTCTTCTGCGACGTCTTAGTCGCGGTGGGGTGCCAGATCTGGAGTTCGATGGCGTGTCCGGGGTGTTGCCCCGGTCTGATTCGTTCAACGGTAAGGGCTTCACTTTTGGTGAGCCACCTTGGAGGTCCGCAAAGCTGCATATCAGCGATGGAGCCGCATCGAGCTCGGGGGAGGAGGTGATCCATCATTCTTTTCTTCGGTGGCTGCTGTCGTGGTGCGGGAGGCAGGTGATGGGCGTTGGTGTCAAGCTCAGAGATGTTCTGCTAGCTTTTCAGTTTTGTCATGTCGGTCCTTACGTGATTTGTACTTTAATCTTTATGATATGAATGAGACACGTATTACCAGGAAAAAAAACAAAGTTGTAGTGGTATATTTCCATCTTCGGTGTTTGTAATGGCATTTTTCCAACCCGTGGGAATAGCAGTGGCATGAATCCAATTAACCCAATATAAATTGCTCGCACTTCTCAGGAACCAGGAGCCCCACAACCTTCCCTTTCTTCAGCTCGCTGTCGAGCGTCTCCGGCCAAGCCGCGCCGTCGGTGAGCCCTCCCCTTCTTCCTCTCTCTGTCTTCTATTTTTCATCAAAGAGAGCCATGTCCACCCGATGCCCAAGCGCCGCCGGCAACGGACCTGTCGGCATCCAGATCCCCCTCCACCCCATCCCCATCTCGCCGGAGACCTGCACCAAGTCCCATCCATCGCCCACGCCACCCTTCGCCCCCCCTCCCCGCCCCGCAGCTCTGCAGCCTGAGCGCTTCAGCCACCTCGCTCCTGAAATAGAGGAGAGGAGCTCCCTGCCACGAGCCTCTCCAGCGCCGGCAAACCAGCAGGACGACCCCACCTCCTTCTGGCTTCCATCCTTGGCTCCTGAGGCCTGCCACCGGCGTACGCCCCGTGCCCGGTGGTGAAGTATTTTAATTAAGGACCATGGGTAGAATTTGCAACTAATATAGGGGTGTTTTGGCAAAATGGAAGCATTTTCCCATGTACCACTTAAAATAGGACTGTGTGTTGAATTCTCAGAAATGGAGGGGCTTCTCTGCAAAACATCCAATGATGTACGACCAAAAGCGGTAGCCGCTTTATTAATAGGGAAAGATGGAGCCGACCTAACTGACCGCCTGGCCTGAGTATACAAGAGAGAGAGGGAAGAAGGTCAGGCGGTTCAGGGGAGGAATCAAGAGAGGCGACGAGCCGAATCGCTAACCCTAGCTCCGGATCTGAATCACCCTATCATGCTCAAGTCCAGGAGACGAAGAAGAGAGGGCAAGGAAAGAGACGACGTCTTTGGGGAGGACTCTCTACACAAATGACTGATATTTGAGGACCAATATGTAAAATGTACCGGCTGATGAGGATATAGACCTAGGGTGGGGTCATAGGCCTAACCTATACGCCTTACCCAAGGTCACTACCCTAGAAGCAAAGGCACCCCGGGGACAACAGGGAGTACCAATTGAAGACGTCGAGTGCAATCCACTCGACCAGTCATATCACTCGGATATCCCTCCTTCCTGATGTCACTCGACCATACGAGAAACCACTCGACCTACTGAAGACCAGGAGTCGAACAGGACATCAACGGTCAAGCATTCACTCCGTAGTCTTCAAAGGCATTAATAGCTCTTTATAGATGGCGTTATCAGTAACGCCCTCTCTTTATGTACATTGAACCCTCTATAACGGGGGATGGCTGGTGTCCTGCCGCACTCTATATAAGCCACCCCCTCCTCTGGCACAAGGGTTCGCACCCCCTGTAACACACAAACACATACTATAATGCAGTCGACCGCCTCCGGGCACCGAGATGTAGGGCTTTTACCTCCTCCGAGAGGAGTCTAAACTCGTAAACACTTGCGTACAACCTCACCGTAGCTAGGACCTTCCCTCCTCATACGTACCCCTACTCTTACTGTCAGTCTTAGTACCACGACAGTTGGCGCCCACCGTGGGGCAAAGCGTCTTAGCGACTTCCGGCGA